ATTAAACAAGGGATGAGGCGTACTTTGATATCATTTGCAGTGTAATTTTATAAAGTATACAACCAGATTCTGAAGATATATAGAGGATATTACATGGCCGCTTTGCGCCTCATCCCTTGTTTAATGAGTCATATGAGTAAGCTAGAAAGCGAAATAACTCGTTTTATTTCTGTTTATTATATAGATACTGATGAAATTTCCACATAAAAGAAAACTTTTTTTATTCATTTTCGAAACAGCAATTGGGTAATTATGTTGGTAACCATGGCCACACCAATATCCTCAGAAGTGAAAGATAAAGATAGTATCTTCACTGCGCGCGGTGAAGATATGATTTTTTACTAAAAGGAGAAATCCTGGTATTTCATCAGTATAATAAAAGACAATTATGTCGTCATGATTTTGTTTATAAAAAACGAGTCATTTCGCTTTCCGGCCTACTCATACGACTCATTAAACTAAGTTCTCGCAGGTTGTTGTACAGCGGTTTGTTTACCTCATTTGGATCGGTTGTGTAACGATATTTTTTAACACTCGATCACGCGTATTATATGAATTTTAAGCCATTATGAATCTGACAATTTTTTTTTTACCGTACAAATTTCACTTTGATCGAATCTCTATCATTTTTTTCAGTTCTCTGAGGTTTGATCTGCGAAAAAAAAATGTGATGAAAGCTTTAAAAGACACATTTCCCGTATGAAGTTTAGAATTTGAGTATGTGACATCTTTGTGAAGCTTCTCGTTCAAAGGAGTGATCATTTGATATATTCTCCCTAAAAATTTTAATACAGCCGGTTCAAAGACAGGTGATGAGAATTATCATAACGTTGAGGTGAACTATGTCTCGATAGAACATTAGACCGTCATGAAAAAGCCTTTAATAAAGAAATCAATAATGTGGGATCATTTCCATCTCATGGGTGAGGATTTCCTATTGTTATATTTCGATAATGCTCATAACCACAGCTGGCTATTACTAATGTCTTTACATACTGTTATCTAAAGGCGCAGGAAGGGGGGGTGGGAGAATTCGAGAACTTTACAAGCGAAAATCTCCTTGGAAAATGTAAAAAATGCTCAAGGTTTTTCGACAAGATCATCTAGCTCACGATTATTAACGCATGCGAAACACTGAAGTTCTTTTTTTCCTTTTTCTTTTGTCTTTTTGGCTCAGGGAGGAAGCTAAACCCAAATCAAAATGTGACAAATCTTTCTCCGTTTTTAATTTTTGTTATTTTTACTTGAAGCTACTTTGCAAATACTTCAAAAGCTTTGAGTATGAGATGTTTTTAAATTGTGCCGGCAAACATAAAAAGGGCGACGTCACAACTTTATCTAAACAGACCACTTAACTAATAAGAACGCGTGTACGTTGTCCATTATTTTACAATCATAAATGAAAATCTCTACAACCTGAAATAATTTACCCTTGCACGATTTACAAAGAAGAGTTTTAGTGCCGTTTTTCCGGCAATTAACTTCTACTCTGTCAGAGGAAAAGTGAAGAAAATCTTACGTGCACGGCAAACGCTTAACAGGTACTTCCACATAGAAACACTGAAACCGCAACCGGCAAACGTGAAAAATGGCGGGAAATAAGGTGACATAGGTCACTTTTGCCGCTCACGTTTTACGTAAACGCGGTGCTAAATATGTCTATTGTCTCGGACGCATCCCCAGTCGAGTGAAGTCACCAACTTGTCACCGTTGCTGTTTGCAGTTCAGATATTCCTTTCGCTAGATAGAAATTGTTCCTAGATAAAAAATAACATAATTTCTCACAAGCCTATGGGCATGTAGTTGTGCGCAATTCTCAATGCCTGTCCCAGTGTCCTTAGATATGTTATGTCGCGTCTTTGGCGTTGAAGTAACAAAAAATTACAATAACAATAGTTAAGCCAAAACATTTCGCACTCATTTCTGAGTTCAGTTTATTTAAGAAACTGTTCTCTAAAGTTGATCAACCAAAGGACTTTTAATTTCTCTGTCCAAAACTTACTGCACATTTCAAAAAAACAAAAGCCACACATTACAAATCCGTTCCAACATTGGAAACATTGCATTATGTCTGTGTGGAGCGGGAATTTTATAGCTTTGTTACTCTGCAAATACAGACGAAATTAAAGAATTTTCTTTTTGACCAAAAAATTTGTTTACTTTCATGTACCTGTACAATATTCACAATAGAGTGTTTACCTCTAAAATCTACAATCTTGGTAAAAACGTCTGAGGCACTATAGCTTCACCTTGTAAATGGCAAAACATGTACTATGGG